TTTTTTAAAAACTCTGTCGCAACCTGGCAAAGCTTTCAAGCTTTTTAAATCGTAATTGCAATTGGGGTTTTTCCATTAAAAAATTTTAAGTAAAAATTCAAGCTGAGGGTAGCTTCGGCTTCTTGCCTATTTTAAAAGCTCTGTCTCAACTTGGCAAAATCGTAATTGAAATTGGCATTTTTCCTTAAAAAATTCCAAGTAAAAAATCAAGCTGAGGGTAGTCTCGACTTCTTGTCTTTTTTAAAAACTCTTTTCCAACTTGGAAAGCCATTATGAGTAGAAATTGTTTATTTGCTTTTTTAGCTTTAATTCGGTACGAAGAAGCTTCCAGAGGAGAAGTGGATTTTCACAAAAATTTACGAAAATCGTCGACGACGGACACGGAGGGACGGAGACCTTTGAAGAAGGTGTCCATAAAACAATAGTGACAATTCGCGGAGGAGGAGTCTAGGTTTTCCTAGACGGAATGCTGCACGATTGTGCCGAATTAGAAGCGCGGGGCTCAATTAGGAACCAGAGTATCAAACGAATTTCTGTTACTTCCAGGCAGTTATCCTGAAAAGGACTTCGCCGGGTATTGGGTGGTAATTTAATTGAAGTACTCCCCTAGGACATAAACCTCCAGTGCGAGGATTGATGCAGGTTTCCTGTCTGCGAACTAGGCTTGTCCGGAAGCTTTAAACGCGCCCGACGGGGTTTTATCGTTGGCTCCCTCGTTTCTTTCTTCGTACCCGTAGGTAGCTCGCACCATTAATACAAAGGGAGGCTCGTCCACCGACCAACTTAATTGAACCCGAAGGTGAGGGGATCCTCGCCGATGTGCTACCAGCCTAATACGCGGTCCTGAATACCGGGTACATGTCACAGTATTCCTGTCGTGCAAAAGATAGTGAGAGCTCTTCTTGTCTCTGGTGCGGAGAACGGGGCAGGCAGGTGAGTGACTCGATCACTGTCTGAATAAGACTGACTAACTGGCCGAAATTGGCTTCTTTTATACGTTTCCGTCGATGCCCTACACGAGCTCCGCCCACCAAAAATCAGCCAATCGGCGTGCAACGCAACATCCCCTCCCCAAGACAAAAAACATTTCAAAATTTTGGCAAAGCCGCAGTTTTGCATGTGTTTTTTGAAACTTTGGTTTTGCCTAGAGGTGAAAGCTAGGCTGCACGCTTCCGGGTTTGCCTTTAAGAGGTCTTTTATTTACATACTCGGGTTTGAAAATTTACGATGGAGCGACTCGATGATTTGCGTGCCGACCTTATTGCTATTTCTCCTTTTGGATTTTCAACAGTGTCAAGTTTCAAGCAGGCCTGAGTCATAGCCTCTTCCATTTCCTGGTAAGATTTTTTGGAAAGGGTCTTGCTTGTGGCGATGATTTGTTCAAAAGGTTGGATAGTGTTGGTAATGGCACTGATTTGCTGGATGGCTTCAAGAGAGTCGTTTCGAAGATTAGGGCTTATTTGGCGTGGAGGTTCGTGTATTTCGACGTCGACTAGTATAGGTTCTGGGGGTTGGATTTCGCTATCCTCCGATTCTGGAGGTAGGTGGTCTGATATTGCCTGCTCTATCGCCCGCCATTCCTCTACATCTGATTCGCTGGACGAATCGTAATTTTCATCGTCGCTGAAATTTACTATATTGCCTTCTTGAGCCAGTCGTAGATCATCCACATGGACGTTTACTTGATCGCCTTCCCTTTGTACTTCATAAGTGATTTCTCCAGTCTTTTTTGCTATTTTATGTGGGCCTGCCCATATAGGGGCAAGGCTCCTCTAGGGCGATTACGCACATTTACGCGATCTCCCACCCGAAATGTTGTAAGTGGGTCACGGTTCTCGGGATATTCCTCACGTTGGAAATCCAGCGTACGCTTGATAGCCTCTGTGAGGATCTTTGGCCTATCTTTTTTAGGTTTGTTATGTCTCTTCCATAGAGTTCTCCATTCGCCTGGGTACGGTAGCTCGTAAACCAGTACTAAGGCGGGAGGGGTTTCGCCCGTCGCGCGGTTGCGCCGGCTCCTAAGGATTTGAAGTGCCTTATGCAGATACTGCTTCCATAGAGTCTCTCTCTTATCATGCAGCAAGACGCTGAGAACTTTTTTGAGTTCTTGGACTCGTCGTTCAACAGGGTTGGCTTGCTGGTGGTTTATTGACGAGGTACTATGAATGATACCGTTTTGGTCGTAGAAGTTGTTCATCAGGTCCGATGAAAATGTTTTTGCGCCATCCGCTATAATTTGTTTAGGGACTCCATAGCGACTAAAAATCTCATTTGTCAGGATTTTACAAATATCCCGTGACTGTGCTCGCTGATATGGGAACGCCTCAACCCACTTGCTGAAAACATCTTCGATAAGAACAATTAGAGTGTTCTTATGAAACTTAGACTCCGGGTATGGCCCCAGTACGTCGACTGACAGTGTTTCGAAGGGTTGTTTCGGTGAAGTGTGTGCACGTTGAGGTGCTGGAGTTTGCCTTCTTGGCTTAGCAAGTGAGCACATGATACATTTTTTGACGTAGTTCTGGACGTCCCTAAACATCCATCCCCAAAAATAATGTTTTTTTGCCTAAGCGTCTCCTGATAACCCGGGTGCCCTTGGTCCTCGATATCGTGATAAGTGTGTATGACTTGGCTGGTTAAGTGACGGGGGACGACTAGCCTGTCTCCTTCAGGATGACGGCGCCAAAGCAAGTCTTCGGTTACCACGAATCGTCGAAATAGCTTTCGCTCGGAGTTAGACTGGGGACCAGGATGTAGGTCAATTAGTTTAAGTGCCATCTTGGCGCGGTGGATGTTTCGGATAGTGCTCTGGGTCTGGCGACTTTATCATATAAAGTTACTGCGTTTAGGGCATTTATTTGGACTTCGGTTAGTGGTGTTTCGTCGTTACAGTCAGGGTGCAGCGGTGGTATCAAGCGTTTATCGTCAGGTACTGCATTGTACGGATCGTCGTACCGTTCTCGACTTAAGAGGTCGGGAAGTCGGTTATTTTTGCCAGCGACGTGCTCAATCTTGAAAGAGTATTCCTGTAGAAGGAATGCCCATCTTGTCAGTTTAGACTTGGTGTCTTTAAACTGATTCAGCCACGTTAATGCCTTACCATCTGTGCGGACTATGAATGGTTTGTCCTCCAAGTAGGCTCGATAAGTGCTAATAGCCCATACCAGGGCAAGGCATTCTTACTCGTTGATGTGGTACTTGGTTTCTGCAGGTTTAAATTTGGCACTGGCGTGCGAAATAATGAATTTCCGTTCACCATCTTCTTGGTATAGAACGGCCGACATGCCAATGCTGCTGGCGTCTGTCTGTAAAACGAACTTTTTATTGAAGTCCGGTCTGCTTAGGGGTTTTGCTTGCGCAATGATGCCTTGATTTTATTAAAAGTAAATGTTTTTCTTCTATGATCGCTTCTGTGAGCGCGTCATTAATATTTTTAGGTTTAGCTCTACGTAAACAACAAGAAATATCGTCGCTTGAGTGGAGGATGAATCGTTGCAAAGCTATTTCCTTTATCATAGCAATTCGACCCACTGATTCATTTTGATTTTGGAAAGAAGAGGCATTTAGAGCCAATGTTTGTAGGGTTTCTATTCGATTAAAATAACTTTGCACTGATTCCGTTTTACCTTGTTTTAATGTATTTAACTCTTCTAAGATTTGAGAAAGATCTCGTCGATCACCAAATAGTTCAATTAAACAGTCTCGAATTTCATCGAAATTATAGAATTTTTTGAATCTAGTTTGAGCGCGTGCGGATCCTTTGAGTTTGGATTCTATGTAAGATATTAAGAGAATTTTTTGAGGACCACGGCGAAGAGTCCATGCTTGTAAAAAATCAGAGAGTTTGGTGCGATGGCCATCAAAATTCTCTGAAATAATTGCGCGAATATCTGACATAGCATGAATAGGAGCGCTATAGGCATTATTATCTGGAGTTGAATCATTGTGATCTTGATTTACGGATTCTTGAGGGGAATCGGGACGTGAGCTGTTTTGACTTCGGGTATCAGGTACAATAGGCATGATGATAAGTACGAAATAAAATCTAGAAATAGGTTCTGAAAAACTTGTCTACTTACGATGTTGGCTGGCAGAGGCAATCTAGAACGATTGATATCAAACTGCGAAGCTATTCGTTTCACCCTAATCCGATCCTCGTCACCAAAATTTGTTAAGTTCTTTTAGTTAGGGAACAGAAGCAAGTCTCTTGGCATCAAATTATTCGTTGTAACTTTTATTTAAACAAATTACACATCGAAACTTATTTACTAGATACCCTACTCTAGACCCGATTGACAATATTTAGCTGTACGGTGTACAATTCAATAAAGATGGCTCAAGAATGGTGTTAAAAAATAATATTTCTATAAACTAAGTAATTATGCTGAATAAGCGGTATGCTGATGAAGCAGTTTCGTTCTTCGCTGCAAGTCAGTGGCCAGCAGTAGTGGCAAAGCAATGGCGAAGCAGTGGCGTTACATAAAATAAAAATTGAGAAAATTATGAAATGCTATTACATGATTTATGTAACTTGAGTTGTTATTAAATATCTTCATACATGTTTTATATCTCATTTTGATTGTTGTTGTAAAAAATATTTGGTACACCAAGATATGCTTTTGAATCTAGACATAAAAAAAATCACATTCTATTTTTAATTTTGTTTACAATATCAAGTATATTGGGCAAATTGTCATACTTAGTATGGATATTATACACTGATTTTTGCAAAAATAGCCAGATATGCTCTTCATACGGATATTTTAAATAAAAAATAGTTATTATTTGAAAACACGTATCTACCGCTTTAAGTATAGAAGCTACTTTGTAAAGGATGTTGTTGAAACTTACAAAGATGTTAGAAATGTTGTTGTAAGAAGGACCTTCTATGATCACAAAGTTAATCTATACTTGGCAACCTTTTTCTTTTTTTTTTCTATGATTGTATATGAATCCTTATGCAGTTCCTTGAACTCCCAATCGATTAAAGTATATGCCAAAGGATTTTTCAAAATGTTAAAAGTCTCGGTTAGCTCTTCAGTTCCTACTAAGCTCTGCAGCAGCTTTCTTCTATACTCAAAAGTATTTTCCACTTTTCTTCCACCGTGCTCCAGGGTTCATTCCTGTGCTGCAACCAAACTAGGTCGTCCTTACTATCCCCTAAATCAAAAATTATATAAGCATAAGATAGTCTTGATTGCCTTTCATAGAATACAAAATCAAAACAGAATACACCTCTGCATTGTTTCCTTACCTTCTGCACTAAGATCCAAATTTTCCGGCACAGGAGTGATGCTTTTATCTCTTACGCAAGTAAGTAGACCAGACTTCCTTAAAAATGTCAGCCTATTTCGATATTTATCAGTTAGTTTTCCTCTAGCGAACCCAGACTTATTTTCTTTTGAGAATTTTTCTTTCACTGGCTCAATAAAATAGTTTGTTTTTACTTCCTTGGGAAATGTTTCAATAATACTATCAGCAATTCCACTTAAATCTTCGTTTGTGAGTTTCCTGGAAAATATTAAGTTTAACTTTAGATAGTTTTTTTTGATAATAAACATGCACTTACTGAAAATTCGATTGATTTAAAAAATGTTGCACAATTAGATCACATAAGTATCCTTGGTATTTTGGCTCGAAATCTCCATACTTTTTATAAATGGCTACTAAAGCCTTCCCAGTGATTGTTTCATTAAGTAGTTGAGAAAGGTCGAAATTTCTTACATCCGACCTCATTTTTTTGGAAGGAACTCTAGCATCACTGATGGTGAACTGAGGAGTGTTTTCTGATGACGATCTGGGAAGAGGTACGAGATTAAATTACCCAATTATTTGTTTATATTGAAATGTTATTCATATAAATACCTCTTTTGTGCTGTACGAGGCTCGCAACGAGGTGTCGATGTAGACTCAGGATCAGTACAGAAAGTATCCCCTTAAGAGGTTCTGGTAATCATGTTGTTGTTGATGTCGCTGCTGAATTTGATGTTGAAGGAAAATTACTACCTTCTCCAAAATCTCCGGTAACATCAGTTAGTACAAAACTGAAAAAAAACACATATTTCTAATACCTAACCTGATGGCAAATTTATTTAATAGATACGATACAATGGACAGCACGAGCTATGTGTTATTACCACAAAACATCCCATCACCTCCATTTTTCCAAAGGATCTTTTGCATTTGTTTTTCGTGATATTTGTTGTTAATCTTGCTCATTTGTTATGTTTTTCTGGATCGAAAGTAAATTATTTATGGCCAATTCCCAATCTGATATGATTGTTTCGAACCATTAAAACCAAATATTATTGAATTTACAATTCAAATTCAAGATTAAAGCTTTTTGAGCATATACCAAACAATGCTTCAAGCTTCAAGTCTTTTGTTTGGAAAAAAGAAATGCCGCTGTAACGACATCACACTCCGGCTGTCCATTATATTAGAAAATCAGAATACCATGTACCATGTCCCACTATTGCTATCTTGGAAATGGTAAGAAGAGGTCAGTTGACTCACAAATATTTAATTAAATTATATTAGTTGATTTTTATAAATCACCCTGTATTTCCGAAACAATCAGGAATTTAGCTACAAAACTACGAAAACATATTTTCACTAAGCTTCAAAAATGGCAACTTTTTTCTAATTTAACCGGCCTCATATATCTCTTACCATTTCTTAGATAGCAATAGGGAAACATGTCATTTTACACACCCTGTATAAGTACCTATTTACCTTTGAGTGTCTACGTTTTTAAGGTTTTTAAAAGCTTCCCTCAGCTTCAGCCTGAGTTTGAGTGAAGGAAAGCCTTCCTTAAATTCTTCATAACTTGATAAACACTTAAGCATATCAATAGTGTTTATTTTATTGGCTAAAAAAAAAGTCATTTGTTATCAGGGAGTCGCACATAAAATGAGTTATACATGGGGATATTAGAAAGTGTTATAGATATACCAGGGTCGGTCAAATGGGAAAAAAGTTAGTTTTCTCGTACAGTACATGCCCATGCAACTATGATTTTATTCTGGACACCCTGGTTTATACGGGCTTGGTCAAGTTGGCACCCCACATTCGGTTTTGTATACTGTTTCTCAATTATTGTAGTCAACTGTGCTCAATTGTGCCGGTATAATTGAAGCAAATCTGGGGGCCGCAGCTTGACCCACAGCCCCCCATTTCTTTAGGCAATTTTTCGCGAGGATAATCAAGCATAATTTTTTGCTGGGTTATGTGACATGTCAATTGTGTCATACTCCCCTAACTCCCCCACCATCAAATTCTGGGATACTTGAGGATCAAGAACACTTAATTTCTTCTGTGAGAACAGACCGAAAATTACCTTCTCTACGTTTAAAATCGACGGAATAATTAACTCTCTAGCACAGCCTGAATCGCAAGCATTCCTTCGAGGTCTGCGGGTGACGTCATCACTATAAGCTGCTGATAGTTACGTCACTCGCAGGCCTAGAATTTGATGGAAAGGGAGTTTGACACAACTGACACATCACATGACCCAGCATAATCAGATTATGCTTGATTATCCTCGCCAAAAATTGCCTTTTGACTCGCTGCAATATTTTTGGCTCATTCAATTGTGCCGGTGTAATTGTGAGTTGTGCTCTTCTCCGTATAACGAAAAAAAAAAAAAAAACAAATTCAGGAGCCAGCTACAAAAAGCAACTTTCGAAGGAAAGGGATGTTGGCAATCAGCTTGGAGTTTGGATTCATTTTTATGTTTTTGTTTTTGGGTGCACGTTAAGAAACAAGGGAGAAAACGATCAAAATTAAATGAGTCAAAAATATTGCAAAAAAAAAATATTGGGATTGATGGTCAACCAGCAATTGTTCTAATTTTTTTTGTAGCTATGTACATAATATATGGAAAACAGCACAATTCGCATAAACACTGCCACAATTGAGCACAATTTATTATTGACTACAAAGGAGACACAGTACAAAACCGAATGTGGGGGACCCACTTGAGCTTGACCCAACTGTTTAGATAAGTGTGGAAAGTGAAAGTTTCCACGTTTCCACCACAAAAACTTCAGGGAAAGAATCAATACTCAACTTAGGTAGGACATTATATGTTTTTTAATTAAATCAAAGATACTTCCAATAGGCAAAACTTATTTGTTACTGCCCATATTGGAATATGAAATAGTAAGAATTGTATTGATATTGAATCAAGATTTTATAAAAATAATATTAGTCGTCTTGCAATAAACATTGGATAGTAGCTTTAAATAAATTGTGATTTATTATTAATACATTGCTTATCTACCTACTATTTATTGCACAGCCGTGGATATTATCCAGGCAACCTGTGTAATATTGAATATACGTTTCCTTATGAGAATTGCTTACAATTTTATAATAAACATTGCGAAGTTAATTATTGAAGCCTAATATTCAAAATTAAATTTTAAGATTTGTATTTAAATCCGTTTGTTTAATAATAAAACAAGTGATGGATAGATCCACTTAAAGGAGCAACAGGTTAATGCAAGTCGCAAGGTCAAAGGGGGACATGAAATGCGTGGTGCATTATACCGGATACACTAGATTTTCGGTAGTTAAAACAGAAAATACTTATATAAAATTAAATTATATTGGACACTGTAAAATGTATACCTATAGATTATTTACCTCTACCTACTTACCTTGCAAATGAGAATATAGTTCATTATAGAGACCATTTTCATTTAGAAAATCTTCTAATCTAAAGCTGGATTTATAGTGTCAGTATCAGTAACAGTAACAGTAAAACTTAAAACTTAAAACTTAAAAACATAAAATTTGATTTATAGTTGCCGTGTTTATTTTATGTGTAGTGAGTTTTTATTCAAATTTATTGGAAAATTCCGATTTTCGAGTGAAATTAAATAATTGACTGTGTCATATAAAACCAATTTTGAGCCAATTTGTGTTATGGACGTGGATGAGACAATTGCTGTCGTTGGGGTACTTTTATGCACCTACTTAATTCGAAAAAAATGTCAAAGACAAAAGAGACGCTTTATGGTGAGTTTATAGAAAACATTTAACATTTAATTTATCATTTAGTATTTAACATTTGACATTTAAAAAAAGTTCGGCTACACAAAGTAATGTAGCGGTCCATAAAACCCATTTAACATTTAATATTTAGCATTTATTATCTAAGATTTGGCCAACTTCTATCTTTCTTAAATTAAATGTTAAATGTTAAATGAAAACGCAAGTGCGCATGTGCAACAGGATCACCTTTTTCACCTCAAACGTCACCCATTATTTATTTCCATTTGTTTATTGATTGTGTGCGATAAACAAGGTGTATTTCTGTTGATTTTTGAAAATTATTAAATTATGGATGTACACAAGTGTAATAATTCAGCTTTCATTATGGGATCTATGTTGTTCCTGATGGCTAGGGCCATGTGATGTGCAAAAACCAGAGGGCTAATACTAGGGGTGCAATTTGGAAACCTCGTCGTCGTCGTTTATAAAGTTAGGCTCCTCAATAAACACCAGAAAACACATAGTCAGTATCATTTTCTTGTACAGTTGATGACAGAAAGACCATGAACAATTTTTTAAATATACGAGGATGTCTGCGGAAAAAATTATTTTTTATTCTTTTATAAACGAGGTCTAAATTTTTAAATGTTAAATGTTAAATGTAAAATGTTAAATATTAAATGCTAAATGTTAAATGTTTTTTATAAACTCACCAATAAAACCAGGCCAATCAACAGGAGAAGAAAAACCCATGGATTTTTCCACGCATATTTTAAGCCAATGAAGGAAACTGATGAGGGCCAGTTTTTCAAATATACGAGAATGTCTGTGGGTGCTTTCAACGAATTACTACTGATGGTGACACCATACTTAAGGAAATCTAGAAGACTACGAGACAGTATCCTGGAGAACGATTAGCTGTTACCCTGCAGTAAGTTAGGCTTCATTCTACATGGTATTTTCAGTATTATTATTTTTTAGTTACTTTTCACAAGGCAGTTCGATGCAAAGTATTGCTTGGAGTTACCACATTGGTCATACAACAGTGCATAAAATTATTATTGAAACTGCAAATGCAATTTGGGAGGCACTATCAGCTGTGTATTTAAAACCACCCTTTTTGGAAAACGAATGGCTGAGGATTGCAAAGGAGTTTGAAGATCAGTGGAATTTCCCAAACTGTGTTGGTGCTCTTGATGGGAAGCATATTCATATACAGGCTCCAGCAAAAAGTGGTAGCCAGTACTTTAATTACAAAAAAAGTTTTAGTATTGTCCTATTAGCTGCATGTGATGCCAATTATAATTTGACCCTTGTGGATATTGGGGCCTATGGTAGTGAAAGTGATTGTGGTGTATTCAAAAATTCTGTTTTTGGCAACATGCTCGATAAAGACGAAATGCATATTCCTCCAGGAAAAAGGTTATCAAATAGTGACATTGTACACCCTTTCTATTTTGTTGCTGATGAAGCCTTTCCATTAAAAACATACATAATGAGGCCTTATCCTGGCAGAAATCTAAACGAAGAATTTCTAATTACAGATTATCTAGAGCTAGACGGTGCATTGAAAATTATTTTGGAATCTTAGTGAATCGTTGGAGATTATTGAGAAATATGATAGTAGCTGATGTAAACAACATAGATATCTTTGTAAAAGCAATGCTATGCTTACATAATTATGTTAAAACCAAGGCAGAACATTTGTACTGTCCACCAGGTTTTGTTGATGGTGATGACCATGCGGGAACTTGGCGAGATGAGGTTCAGCCATTGAATTCTGTAGGACGTTTGTCAGCTAATCGAGCAGCTGGACTTCTCTATACAGCCAGAGACCAGTTAAGGGATTATTTCTTATCAAATGCTGGCCAAATACCATGGCAAAACAGGGTTTTAGATGATGGCATGGTATAGCACTGCACGTTACGTTTCTTTGCTATTGCTATATTTATTTTTTCAATTATTTAAGAAATATTATTCAACCTAATTTTAATGTTTTTAGTCATAGGGATTTGTCACACTTAATCCAGCAAATATACGTATTTTTTAAAAAAAATTGATTGGTGACGTTGGAAACTGTGCCTTGAATATATCTTGTGATGAAAAAATCAGCTTGCCCCCTTAAATTTTTTTGAAAAACCCATATTGTATTCACTGGCTAACTGGCATGCGGCTTGAGCGACAAAAATTTATATTTTCTGCATTATTATAGAATAGGG